GGGATGCTTTAGTCAATACGGCCACTGACCACAAGGAATGGCTGGTTTGTAGCCACGATGCCACTTTTCAAGTCCTGTTCAGTGCCATCGGACAGCTACCGATGCAACAGAAGAAAGGTGAATACCACGCACTCCATACCTTTCTGGGGCGTTCCGGGGCCGTGCCGGGCTTCAGCCTCCAGAGCACAGAAGGGCCTGCCAACTTTTGTTCAGCTGTTGCCGAAGTCCTCCCACTCAGCGCCCGGCTCACTGTGCAGTACCTCTTTTCAGACAATCCTGCCTTTGTGGAAGGTGCCAATGCAGTATTGCCAAACCTCGTGGCTGTGGCTGAAGATGCCTTGCATTTAGTGCTGCGCGTCGAAGCCTGCACAGGAGAGAAACGTACTTCCTTGTCATCGTGCCTCCTCCGGGTCATGAAACGCTTCCGCTTACCTTGCCCAGGACCTTTCTACCACGGTCGCACCAATGACGATGACTGTGATCAAGGGCATTGGTCCGAGGACTTTGCCGAAGAGGATGTACCTGGCGATTGGAATTGGGATGACAGGGTGGTGAAGCCATACTCAAGCCACCAGGAATACATTGATGACATCCAAGTGCTCTGCGCTCAACACTTCGACCAGATGCACAAGAAAGACAAGAAGGGCCGTACAATCGAGCAGATCTTGCGAGCCGGTGTGTCCTACAAGCATTTCCGTTACCTATGGAACGGCTCCCACATCATAGAAGCCCTCCACCATGCCATGGACCCGAAGGAAGTGGAACTCCTCAGCTTTGGCACCTGCAGCAACGAGGCTTTACATTTCCAGCTCAAAGCCTGTCAAGAGCAAATCATCCAACAGCACATCCAAACCTTTCCTCCGCAGCTGGAAGCATTCAGCTTGGCAAAGCTGTTGGCGCATCATTCGGCCGCGTACCACCCAACTTTGGCGCAGAGAAAGGAATCAGAAATCTTAAGTTTGATGCAAGGTCGTTTGATCAAAGGGTTTCTGCCACCCTTGGAGGAGAGGCAGATTGGACCAACCCTTTGCAGAGAAGCCTTGCGCAAGCCTGTGCATAGCTTGGATCCCAGGAAGGTTGCAGCCAGGAAAGCCTTGAAGGCAAAGAAAGCCGAGCAGTGGCAGAAGGAAGTGAAGAACAGGAAGCTGAAGCATCCACATCGTGCAGCACAACCAAGTTCACCGAAAAGAACCGTTTTTACGCAAAAGAAGTGCCTTGGCAGAAGACTGAGCCAAAAGTATTGCCATACTACGAAGAACAACCACCGCTAAGCCAAGCCACAGCATAACCATGGCACTAAAAAACAACGCCTATGCCATGCACTTTATGCAAAGAGCACCTGATGTGAACCTAGGCGGCCAGGTCGTCGTGCGCAAGGAAGCGCCGCTTCTTCCACGGCTGAAGCAGGGTGAGGTGAGCTTTCCATTGTTCGGCCAGGGGCAAGCGTCTATCGCACCAACACTATAATTACATGCGCATATAGCTAGAAGGTGGCCTCATGCGTCTGTTTTTGTTTGATTTCTCAGTCGTTTGCGTTTTGGCTTCTTGGATGTGTGGTATATCTGTAGTATTACCCTCTCGTGTGCGTCTTTGTCAAACATGTCTATAAGACTCACATGTTTGGAGCTGCCTTGTACCCACTTAACCATTACAGGCCGCGATGACGTTTCAATCCTACGGATGTTTGCATTTCACACGTGTCGACGCTGAACGGTGTGTTCGGTAAGTATATGAATACAGACTAAATTTATATAAGTTTATGCTTGCTCACTGTTTCCACCCAGTGCGCTGTGGAATATGATTGCGCATGCGTGTGCGTTGCAAGTGCATCCCATATTTCTACGCGACTTTGTCAATGCCTGTGCGCAGTTTACGCTGTGCTAAACCTGGGTCAAATATTGCAGAACAAGTTGTTTAAACACAATAGTTGGAAAGCTGCAAAAATTGTGCCTTTTTATTTTCCAGTGGCATTAAGTCCTCTCCTTTGGGCCGCCAACTAGTTACTAGTTTCTACACACAAATCGAGATCGACGACCGGACGATCAGAAGCACACGCAACTTTTTCCGCTCAACGGACACGGGGTATGTAAGTGCACACGGGGTATGTAAGTGCACGTGTTTCACACGTCCTGAAAAGACTTTCACAAAGTTGCATGACGTTTCCGACTTCGGGGTCGCATTTTTCAGCATTACCTGTGTAAGCTTGCACTTAGAAAACCAGATATATCTGATATATATATATAT